GTTATTCAGAGACCCATATCTGCTTCTTAATACACTGGTGCCCACCCATTCATTTATCCTTCCCTTCCAACCACAGATAGATTTAAATTTATGCAAGTGGATACACACTGGACTGGATGCCTCTCAGACCTGCTGAGAGGCCTGAATTCGGAGATGTTCAGCTCCCAGAAATGAATCTAGCTTTCATGACAGCTCAGCTCCATTTTAACATCACCATAAGAAAAATCAGGATCTGGAGACAGCATCTGACATCAGGGTGGCAGATATTTCAACCTTCTGAAAGAACCTCACGTTGATGCTTCCTCATCCACTTTCAAGCTAAAGGCATAAAATCCACCTTGTATTTAGAATCATAGAATCACAGAACGGTTTGGGTTGGAAGGGACCTTAAAGACCATCTAGTTCCAACCCCCCTGCCATGGGCAGGGACACCTTCCACTAGACCAGGTTGCTCCAAGCCTCATCCAGCCTGGCCTTGAAGACATCCAGGGATGGGGCATCCACAGCTTCTCTGGGCAACCTGTCCCAGTGCCTCCCCACCCTCTCTGGGAAGAATTTCTTCCTGATATCCAATCTAAACCTCCCTGTTTTCAATTTGTACCCGTTAGCCCTTGTCCTATCACTACAGGCTCTTGTAAAAAGTCCTCTCCCAGCACCCTTGTAGCCCCTTCAGATACTGCAGGGACTCCATTTCTCCTATGATGGCTTCCCTTCTTTTACCTTCTTTATCCTTTTTTCCCCACAAGATATTTTAACAGTGTCTGTTCCCTGATGTGCTCCACAAACATTAGCAGTAATACCACAAGAGAGCAGAAGCACACGGCTTAGATGAAAAACATACTCCCTTCCAGTTGCTTGTCCTTAAATTGGCTGAAATTGCTGTTAGGTTGTGTGATAAACTGTGTCTGAACACAAAGGAGTACAGAGAACCAACGGCAGGCAGAGCAACCTGAATAATGCTCAGGGCCAACGGTGGTGAACCATCAGCCCATCCGAGGCTCATCTCCACGCTCGGGCAGTGGGGCCCAGCCATGGTGTCACACAGAGCCGCAGGCCCTCCCAGGGGTGTCATCGGCCCCCTTGTCCAGGTGTGAAACCAACCCGGTGAGGCAGCGGGGAACACTTACAAACCAGTCACCTGGTCAGAAACCGAGGGGGTTACTGCCCAGATGGTATGGGACATGTTATGGAATGCAAAGGAAGACATTTTGGAATTGCACAAGATTTATTATGGGGGTGTTTAGGGAGAATACGACAATAAAAGTTGCCAGTCGCATGTGAGAAGGTCTGTACAGTTTTCTGTCTGTGCCCTTGTCAGTGCCGTCTGTCCTATCTTCTCACTAAGTTCTAGTTCTAATTGTTTTCCTGCATGAGGAGCTCCCAGTTCTGTCTGTGTGTATGTTTCTGGAGTGCCAGCAGCAAGTGAGGGTGTGATCAACCAGGCCAAGGGCAAGGTCCTGCACCTGGGTCGGGGCAATCCCAAGCACAAGGACAGGCTGGGTGGAGAGTGGATGGAGAGCAGCCCTGAGGAGAA